GACTTTATTATATTTAGAAAATAAACATGAATCTATAATTTGATACAAAATAAAAATAAACAGTGATTCAGTCAGATTATTTGTATTTTTTCTGTAGTTTTTATATTTTCTCTGTATCCAACAGTTTTATTTGTTTTAGTTTGAATAAAACAGATTTATTAATTATTAAATCAGATGTTTTTCAGGGTTTTGTGTCTCAGTGATGAAGAATCGACTCCTCTTCCTCCTGCTGCTGAGCTCAGGTCTGACACTCTTCAGATGATTAAAAACCATCATCTTTATTATTTTTCACGACTCGTCACAGATCTGACGTCACATTTACAGATTATTTGTCGACTTTAAGAAACAATAATCCTGTAGAAGCTGGTGAGACGTGTGTGAGACGAGGTCTGAAGAGAAAAAGTAGAAAAACAACAAAATATTTCATGTTTTGTTCCATCAGCTTCAGTTACACAAGTTCTGATGATGATGATGATGATGATGATGATGATGATGATGATGAGTTTTAGGGTGCACATATTTTCAGGGTCGGTTCAGAACTGCAGGTGGACCAGTCCAGAACCTGTAGTTTTCTTTATACAAGAGGTCCAGATCATGACAGTTCTACCTCCGTGCTCTGCTGGACTTCAGTCTGTAGTGGTCCTCCAGGATCCTGTAGGTTCTGCTGGTTCAGTTTCTGAGTTCATCCAGAACTGGGCTGGTTGGACTTGGAATCCTGATCCATCTGGTCCAGGTTTCTCTGTGTGAGGGTCCAGAGAAGTGGGTCCACCCTGAGGGCCCTGATGCTTCAAACATCTGAATTATTTTAGATTTAATTTAGTTTTTAAAACATTAAGATTCAGCTGAAAGAATAAAAACATGAGCAGAACTTTTTACTCAGTTCTGTTTCCACTCAGAACCAGAACCAGAACCAGATCCAGTCTTTTCTTGTGTTCTGGCTGCAGTTTGTTGTTTGGCCACCAGGTGTCAGTAAATCTCAGTAAATCTCAGTAAATCCAGTCCGAACCTTCTGGTCCCTCAGGGTCTCTGCTGGTCCCTGGTACTGGGTCCGGTTACACCGTCAGACGGTTCAAGTATGTGACCCTGAAGAAGACCTGGGCCGAGGCCCAGACCTACTGCAGGGAGACCTTCTTGGACCTGGCCACCATCCAGAACTCCAACAACATCACCGAGGCCCAGAAGGTGGCGGGGACCTCCCAGGTCTGGATCGGACTCTTCAACGGGACCTGGAAGTGGTCTCAGGAGCAGAACCAGGACATCTCTAGCAGCAGCTGGTACACCAACTGGTACCCGGGCCAGCCTCAGGAGGAGAACTGTGTGGCCTTCAGTAATAATGGGTACTGGTCCACGATGGACTGTGGACTGCAGTACCCCTTCTTTTGTTTCAACGGTCAGTCCCGTTCTGACTCAGGTCCTGCTTCTGTTCTAGTCCTGGTCTCGTGGGCTGATTGGATGTTTTTTTGTCCAACAGCTTTACTTCAAACCAACATCCTGGTGAACATGCAGAAGACCTGGTCTGAGGCCCAGACCTACTGCAGGACCCAGTACTCAGACCTGAGCAGCATCACCAATGCCCTGGACAACACGGCTCTTTACCTTAAGGTGATCCTGGGACCCACGTACGCCTGGACCGGTCTGCACAGATCCTCCTGGACATGGTCCGATGGCAGCAACGGGTCCTTCACGGCCTGGGGGTTCCAGCCGTCCTATCAGAGGGGGGACTGTGTCCTGATGGACTTGTATTATGGGACCTGGTTCTGGAAACCCTGCAGTGAAGGCCACCCCTTTCTCTGCTACGCAGGTGAGTCCTGCTCCAAGACCTCTTGGTCCAAATCTACAGGTCCAGATCTACAGGTCCAGGTCTCTATGGGCCCAGGCTCTGGTCCTGCAGATCTGATCTGGTCCTCCTGTCCCCTGCAGACTACAGACCTTTATCAAAGCGGTCGGTGAAGGTTCATGTGAATCCAGGATCTGCAGACTTGAGTGATCCTGAGGTCCAGGACTCCCTCCTGCAGCAGGTCTGACTCTTCAGGACTTTATTTAAACTCAGGAAATATTTAAGAT